TAAAATATGAGAGATATGAAAACATAGTAAATATAAGAGTTTTACAGTATTTGATGCTCTTTGCACCTGTGAATTCAAATTTTTCAAAATATCAAATTTACCCTCCCCGCTTCCCCCTCTGCTCATTATTTTCACAAATTTCAAAAATTTTGTAAGAACAAAAATTAAAGAACATTGAATTCCGAATCCAACCATATATAATAATGTTACTTTCCGAGATACAGACTTTTCGAAAAATAGATGGAAATGTCCGTGTATACCCGTAACACGCACAGCGCCTACCTCACTCGATAATATACGCAACACGTCCTCTTCGAATTTCTTTCGAATAATAGACGATTAATACCGATACGGAGAATATGTAATCATAAAACATTTCAATATATAATAACGTTATTAATAACAATCATAGATTTATACACAACAATATTTCTATGCTTTGTCTTTATAAAAAGATATACATATACGCTCTATGAAAGTTAGATTTTATGTATGATAAGTTTGTGTATCTATTTTTGTGGTGGTTGACGTAAGTACTACGACGGAAGTGATACATGAATTGTAAAATTAATCATGTTTATTAACGCGGCGTTTCCATCGAATCTATGACACGTGGAAAACGCCGCATTCATGAAATCACACGTGATTGCATAATTATATCTAATATGATACTGATAACGTAATTATTTTCACGCACACGCACCACATATACACATACACATCTACAATCGTGAAAGTGTTGTGCTGTCGTATTATTGTCATATCTTCTTTCCATCCTGTTTACTTTCGATTTTGTCATAGTTCTAATAATAGATGAATATCAAGTGTCGTAGACGTTACAGTTATATGAGCTATTTAAAGTGCTGGAAAGCAACCACTTTATGCGATGCAAATCATGAGCAAGCGTAATATATACAGATACATTTCATATATTTACTATGCGCATCCCAAAATACGGAGGCCATAACCTTCCCGGCCGACTGTTGAGTTTTTGATCGCTTCGGACAACTTTCACCGGCTGCTCTCCATTCAGCTAACTACTGCCGATTTGATTCCAGAGTATAGTGGTGGATCCAAGTTTCATCCATTGTCACATACCAACGCAAAAACTCCTGTGTATTTCGCGTAAACAGTGCCAAACAGCGCTCTGAATCATCGATGCGTTGTTGTTTCTGTTCCATTCTGAGCAAACGCGGCATCCATTTCGAAAAAAGCTTTTTCATGACCAAATGTTCATGCAAAATAGTATAAACACTACCAAATGATATCTTCAGGATGTCAGCTATCTCACGCAACTTTACTCTGCGATTTTCCATCACGATTTTGAGGGTTTTTTCTTATATTTTCTGGTGTAACAGCCTCATTTGGACGACCAGAGCGTTCAGCATCATTTGTGTCTGTACGACCGCGTTTGAAATTAGCATACCACCAACAAATGGTTGTTTTCGACAGAGCAGAGCCCGGATAACGCTTTTCAAGCCATCGCTGAGTTTGAACGGTATTTTTTTCCATTAAAAAGCAATGTTTTATTAACACACGAAATTCGGCTTTTTCCATTGTTTTGAAAATAGCAAAAGTAGCGTCACTAAAACCACTGTAACTTAATGACACAATGTCGGAATGTCATGAAAGTTTGACACGTAACTTCTAAAAGTTGGTACTAACTGAGAATGGTATGGATTTGTTATTAGAGGAGCCATCTGTTGGTTAGTCCCGGGACTTATTGATCGATGTGTTATTATGAGCTGCTAGAACCTGGCAAAACCGTTCATACTGAACGCTACCGACAACAAATGATCGATTTGAATCAAGCTTTGCGTGAAAAACGACCAGAATATCAAAAAATGCAACACAAAGTGATTTTGCTTCATAATAATGTATCATCACACACAGCAAAGCTGGTCAAGGAAACGATTAAGGCATTTAGTTGGGAAATGCTTTCGCATGCGGCTTACTCACCAGACTTGGCTCCGTCCGATTACTACTTATTTGCATCGGTGGGACACGCACTTGCTGAGCAGCGCTTCACTTCTTACGAAAATGGCTCGATGACTGGTTTGTCTCAAAAGAGCAACAGGTTTTTTGGCGTGGCATCCACAAATTGTCAGACAGGTGGGAAAAATGTATAGCTAGCGATGCTTCGAATAAAATATTTTTTATCATTTTCATACGATAAACGTGTATTTTCTATACAAAAATTCCGGTTTCATATTTACATACTTGGTACGTTTATATGTTATAAAATGAGGTTCTGGTTAGCCAAATTTAATTTTATAATAAATAATTGAAACGTTTATTCCTGTTATTTTTTATATAATAATATAATAAGATATTATTATATATGTGTGCATTATATTTTTATCCTATTCCTTATTTCCTATTCCTATTTTATCCTATATAAAGAATAAAAATATTAAAAATATTATAGAAATATTATAAAATATAATAATACATAATATTGTATAAAAAAAAAGTTGGCACTGCGAGGACTTGAATATTCCTCGGACGTAGACGACAGATTACTAGCGCACGCCTTAGCTTCCACAGCTATCTGCCCTTCGCGCTTATTGATTCCAAGTTACTACACTTAACATGTAGCTATTTTTTAATTGCAAATTTTTCGCAAACGAAGGCCTATGCACCCAAACCCTTTTAGGCTTTTTATATACTCAACCCCTCCATTCGAATGTAATATAACTCATTCAATTATCGATTTACATCGTCTTGTCATCTCCTTGTAAGTGGAAGTTGAGTGAAATGGGGAACGGGGAGAGGGAAATGTTTCGACTAATCATATTAATTGGCCAGCTGGTCAATTAAAAACCGGGAGGACAGCATGCCAAATGATCAAGATTCACCTGAAAATCCTTATCTCGATTAACATTGTTACGATGTTTCAGAATTTCGAATCCTTCTCGATGTTTTCTGGCATAGTAGTTTTCTGAGGGAACCAGAATAGTTGTTTTGTCATACGGTGTACCCAGTCTCCATCCAGTGTTCAGCCAAGGCAGTTTGAGAAAAGTGAATGTACTTGGCACATCGCTGGTGTTCTTTGATCCGTATACTAATCTTCTTCCCGGTTTCTCTTATATATATTTTTCCGCAGGAACAAGAGATCTTATACACACCTAGTGTGTCTAGTTTCTGGTCTTTCGGGTTAAGGAGTAATTGTGAGATCTGACAATAGAAAAATATATAGGAGAAGCCGAGAAGAGCATCAACGAATATGATCAACGAGTACACGGATCAAAGAATGTGATGTACTAAGTACGTTCACTTTTCTCAATCTGCCTTGGCTGAACACTAGATGGAGACAATACACCGTGTAATATGACAAAACAACCATTCTGACCCTCTCACAAAATTATTATGCCAGAAAAATCGAGACAGATTGGAAATTCTGAAACATCCTAACAATGTTAACCAAGATAAGGAGAAGATGAATCCTTTGGCACACTGTCCTCCCGATTTTTAATTGACCAACTGGCCAATTAATATGCTTGGTTGAAACATTTCCCCAACCTCGTTCCCCATTTCACCCAACCCTTACTTAAAAGAATGGAAGAGTATATAAGGACAACTACAAACCAGGAAGACTCAATATCGGAGCTCCTAGTCCTGATGATGCAAGCTGCAATGTTTACAAAACGTCGACACAAAGCTGAATTACGACACGATATCTATCCGGAAAGAACATACCCTGAAAAGAAGATTATGTTTACTTTTGTATCGTTAAAACATTGAGTCTTCTTCGAGTTTTGCGAAAATCGATAGCGATGGGAGATTCATATTGCCAAACTATGTTACTTAGGCCTAGCACAATTCAGAACAAAAAGCTTTCGATCAGAACAAGAAAGGAAGAGCATGTTTACTTTTAGTTCGGGAACCAACCTCGCGAAAACTTTTTTTCTGTGTTTTTAGTTTGACTTGCGGAATTGTTGTTTTAAAACAATGTTTGGAACAACTAGGACAATTTATAGCGATTATGAAATGTTTGATTTTTGAAAAAAAGGAGTACTTGCCAAAAAAAGATTTTTTTTTCATTTTACTGCCAAATCAGATGAAATAAAATAATATCGTTTTAGAATGTGAAACAAGATTAGAACAATCTAGAATCTAGAACAACTTTCAAAAATATAATTTTCGAAAAATGGGGTACCAACTTCACTGACTCGATTTGGTCGACATCAGTGGTGATTGGCCAACCAGAGCGAGAAGCATTTTCGAGATCAAAATCTCCGCAACGAAATTTCGTAAACCACTTCCGATATACACATTCGCTTACGGCATTCTCTCCATACAGCACTTATCTTTTTATGCGACGCGTTTTTGCCTTTTCAGAATAAAAAAGCGAAATGCATCGAAAATACACGTTTTCTCCTCCCATGTTTAAAATATAATTAAATTTCGTATATGTCACGGATCTCGATGAATACTTTCTTAAAATGTTAGCACAAATTTCAGCTTTCACTTAATGTACGACACTCCATATGCTTGACAAATGTGCAAGCGAAAAAACAACTGCGAATGACATCTATCGGTATTTTGCTATAGAATTATGCATAGACCTAATACGTTGACAAAAATGTTTATATGTTGTCAACGTATTAGATGCGAAGCGTATTAATTAAGTTTCAAACATTCCTATAATATTCTATCATAGAAAAAAAGTGTTTATATCTCGTAAAGGAAGAGTTTCCAGACCTATGTTTATATAACATTTTTTCATTTTTAAGAAGTGTAGAATACGGTACTGAAGTTTAACTATTTTTTTCGGTGTCGCTTTGTATAAAATAATTTAATATATGTATTTTATTGTTGCCTTATAAAAAAAAGAACTAGTAACAACCGTTAGTTATTTTGCATAAAACATAAATTATTCTACTAAAATGGATAATTATTAAGTTAAATTATTCATATATTTGTCAATTAAAAATCAATTCTGAATAACCTCCTTAAAATTTTTTGAACTTGTAAAAAATTCAAATATTTATACAAACCATCAATAAACGTATTAGGTTGAACAAATATTTTTCTTGGTTCTTTATGTAACAAGATTATATCTCTCCAACGGCCCCATGGATGTACCCCGTTTTCGGGTACTTCACTATATCTATCATACATATCCTTGGCTGACTCGACATCTCCCATACTCTTATAAACCTGTAATTTCACGAGGAAGTTACCGATAGCTGTTTTACCGACCGTAGAAATTTTTGTTCGGTCAATAGTCATTTGAAGATTCGTTCCTTCTTCAGTTTCAATAATGTTGACAAAATTTTCACTAGCCTCCAGGCATACACTAAGTAGAACGTAACGCGCTTGAGCATGAGCTTGCGACCATGTTTTTGTAGCAGGCTGGTACATTTCAAGAGCTTTCGCAAAACCACTCCATAATAGAGATAACCAGTTCACGTATATTATATCGTCTGCTGTTGATTCTTGATGACCAAATATTTTTAATACGTCTTTCTCCAAGCTTAAATAAAGACCGACTGCTTCAGCCCTGCATTCTTCATACGAGGATCCCATAGCGCCAAATTTTGAATCGTAAGTTTCTCCTTTCTGGAAAAATTTATCTATCCTACTTCCATTTAAAGGATTTATCACTTTATTGCGATCAAAATTGAAGGTGTCTGGTCCCATTTGCCTAAAATATTTACCAGTACCATGACCGAGAAGTTCATGTAAACCAACTTGTACTTCAAAACTGTCTATTCTGTATTTATGCATCAAAGTCTGATCATTTTCGGAAAGAAACGGTATTGAATCTTTCATATGTGCAGGTATAACATTTCCTAGAGATACGTTTTTAAAACCCTCATTCTGTCTAATTTCGTCATAATTTGGAATATTTATTCCCGATGGAATACAAGAACCAGCAAACATTAAAACATCCAAAGAGGTAAAATCTGGTCTAAGGTACGAATCTTTTTCAAAATCGCTATTCCATGGAAGCTTGGGAATCAATTCTTCAGCTTTGTTGACCAGTATAGCAAATTTTGCAGACATTTTTTTGTTCACCATTGCTACAAAACCTTCGAATTCTCCTCTCTGACCTGCCGGATCTCTATACGTCTCAATAAAACCAATATAAGTTTCGATAGTTGGTCCTTTATCTTTTATCCAAAGACGAGAACCATCCTTATGATCGTCTAAACATCCTGTTTTAAAATGATTGATATATTTCTCCAACATATCTTTCTCAACTTGGTTAGACGCGTATTCCTTGGCCTTTTTTAGATTTTCAACCACGATTGTCATAAGTTTATCGTAATCACCTCTAGTGATCTTAAATCTAGAATTCTCATATATTTCGTCGAATAGAGTAATGTTAGGATTATTTGACGTTTCTGCGGATGCCAGTCGTATTTCATATATATCGATGTTATTATTCTTTTCATGATCATAAACAGTTGTTTTGAAACATCTGGTGTTATAAGATTCTAATCCTTTATGCTGCATAAATGCATTGACTTTATCTGCATCCTTCTTATTACAATTAGCAGAGAAATAAGTTGTAACTCCTTTATCACCCAATCCTAATGATTTCAGTTTTCCATCTAACGAATAAAGAATGTTTGATATGCTATTCCATATATTTTGTATTTCCGTAGGATTATCCTTATAAGCTTTTGAAGTTTTTACTATTACTTCAAATGTATTTTTTGAAAGGTTTGGAATAATTTTAGTGTCACCCATAGCTTTGTAATTTCCTGCATTTGCAAATACTCCACTACTATATACTAAGAAAGCCTGAAAAAGAAAAGACATTCAATTTTTAATAAAAACGTTCAATAATATATAAAAAATAAGAGATGTTAAAAAATAGAAATCTTCTTACAGTGAACTCATCTTCAGTAACATTAGCATGTATTGCAGCATCTTTCAATTTGTCAATAGGTTCTACAAGATAAATTTTGTATAACAATGCAAATATTAATGGTGATTCTGGTGACGTCTGTATTAATACTATCAATCCTCCACTCCATGCAGCTTGACTTAAATAATGGGCGTATAGCTTCTCCTTTCGTGTTAAAGTTTTAAACACATCTTCGCATTGTAATGCAACAACAGGTTGACTGTTGGGTAATGTATATAATGTAGTATCAACGTTCATTGTTGAGTGTACATCCACTTTATACTAAAAATAAAGAAATTACAACTTAAATATAACTCAATAACTATCAATTAACAATAACATTGCGTCAATGTCATAATTTTCCATTTGACAATATAAATGTAATATATTTTATATAACATTTATATTGTTGAGTGAGAAATCATAATAAAATTCATATAATGTTATTATTATTCCATATTTCCTGAAAAATTATGTGTGTGTGGATGAGTGGATGAGCAATAATGCGCACACGCGCAATTATATACGAGGGCGGTCCGATAAGTACTTAGCCTCACCGCCCGATGGCGCCACTATCGCAAGAGAAATTTACTATCGTGTAGTACATTCTCGTAGACGGCTACTGTCGAAATTTCAGCCGAATCGGACTCGTAGTTTTGTTTTGACCGCGTGTGGAAGCGGGCGTGTCCGCGGATTTTAGAAAAATGGAAAAAGAGTAATATCGGTCGGTGATTCTTGTTTTTGGAAGGGAAATCGCGCAGCGAAACCAAAGAGCGCTTGGATGCTGTATACGGTGACTCTTCTCCTTCGATGGCGACCGTCAAAAATTGGTTTAACGAGTTTCAACGTGGTCGCACGTCGGTTTTTGATGAGCCACGCCCAGGTGCCCCGAAAACGGCTACCACAGAGGATAACATGAGAAAAATCCACGACCTCGTATTGGCAGACCGCCGATTGAAGGTGCGCGAGATAGCTGAGACAGTAGGCATCTCAAAAGACCGCGTGGGTCATATCCTGCATGAAATTTTGGGCATGAGAAAGCTGTCGGCGCGATGGGTGCCCCGTTTGCTCACTCCGGACAACAAGCGCAACCGTGAGACCACTTCAGAGCAGTGTTTGACGCTGTTTAAGCGCAATCCGAAGGAGTTTCTGCGTCGTTTCGTGACCGTCGACGAAACATGGATCCACTGGTACACACCAGAGACCAAGGAACAGTCGAAACAGTGGACTTCACCCGGCGAACGTGCTCCGAAGAAGGCGAACTGTCCTATCGGCCGGAAAGGTGATGGCCACCGTTTTCTGGGATTCACAAGATGTGATCTACATCGACTACCTGGAGAAGGGCAAAACGGTCACAGGGCTGTATTATGCCGAATTATTGGGCCGATTCGACGCCGAATTGCAGAAAAAACGGCCCCATTTGGCGAAGAAAAAAGTGCTCTTCCACCATGACAACGCACCGGCTCACACCTCCGCCCTCGCCACGGTCAAATTGGTCGAATTGGGCTACGAACTGCTGCCCCATCCACCGTATTCTCCAGATTTGGCCCCGTGCGACTTCTTTTTGTTTCCATACTTGAAAAAGTCACTCGCCGGGCAGAAATTTGAGTCGAATGAGGAGGTCATCGCCGCCACGGAGGCCTACTTTGCAGACCTCGAGAAAACGTATTTTTCAGACGGGTTAAAGAAGTTGGAGCATCGCTGGGTCAAGTGTATCGAGCTAAAAGGAGACTATGTTGAGAAATAAATCGCCACTTTTCCAAAATTTTCGTTTTTCTTTTGTAGGCTAAGTATTTATCGGACCACCCTCGTATACTAGGTACGCAACTAAGTTTCCGGGTTTCACATATGGATGGCCCTAATGACATATGCAGTCGACACACATGTCTGAAGTTGTTTTTTTTTTATAGCTTGGACATCTGTTAACAATAACCAGTCGTAATACCAATACATATCGCAACGCAAAAATATTTTTTCTAACAACGAAGATGTTGAGTTTTGTGCCAAATAAATAGCATTTGCGGGAAGCTTTGCTTTTCTGCCTTAACTTGAAAAAAAGTGCAGCTGAAACACGTCGTTTGCTTGAGGAGGCCTACGACGAACATGCACCATCGAAAACTACCTGTGATGATTGGTTTAAACGCTTCAGAAGTGGCGATTTCGACATTGAGGACAAGGAGCGCTCCGGAAGATCAAAAACAATTGAGAACGCCGATCTGCAAGCGTTATTGGATGAAGATGATACGCAAACATAAGATCAACTTGTGGAGGCATTAAACATGACTCGCCAAGGTATTTCCAAACGTTTACATGCCATGGGAAAAATTCAAAAGGAAGGAAAATGAGTGCCGTATAAGTTGACTGAGAGACAGATGGAAAATCGAAGAACCACTTCCGAAATTTTGCTTTTGCGGCATGAAAGAAAGAGTTTCCTGCATCGAATTGTTACTAACGATGAGAAGTGGATTTATTTCGAGAATCCCAAACGCAAAAAACCGTAGCTTTCACCTGGCGAAGCATCAACATTGACGTCACGGCCAAATCGCTTCGGAAAGAAGACAATGCTCTGTGTTTGGTGGGACCAGAAAGGAATCGTGTACTATGAGCTGCTGAAACCGGGCGAAACAGTCAATGGGCATCGCTACCGACAACAACTGATCAATCTGAACCATGCATTGCTCGAAAAACGGCCAGAATGGAACACGAGATACGAACGAGTGATGTTGCAGCACGACAACGCTCCGTACCATCGCACTTCTATTGTCCAGGACACCATCAAAACGCTGAAATGGGATCTACTATCGCACCCGCCGTACCTGACCCCTTCCGATTATCACTTGTTTTGGTCGATGGCGCATGGCTGAACTGGGCAACACTTGGCCAATTTCGAAAAGGTGCAAAATTGGTTGGATGAATGGTTTCGGTCCAAAGACGCGTCGTTTTATCGTCGCGGTATTCATGTTTTGCCAGAGAGATGGCAAAAATGTGTAGCTAGCGAGGGACGATACTTTGAATAAACCATTTTTTGTATTTCTCCTGAAATTTTCCATTTTTTTCATTGATCAAGAAAACCCGGAAACTTAGTTGCGCACCTAGTACAAAATGTTTGGTAACTTATGTAGCCGTAGCCAATGGAAACATAGGACTGATTAAGAAAAACATAAAAATTCCGTTTTGCGGTATTCTCAATAATTATCGAGTTATTAATTATAAAAACTAGTGAATGAACTCGTACCAATTGGACAAGCATTACAGCCGCTTGGACTAGCAGCGCAGCCCAACTGATTTAGCAATTGTTGCTGATGCGCGATGAGGGGAAGAACAACGAGTAAGTAAAGCACCCTATTTTTCAAAAATTATATTATTTATATAAATTATATTATATTTTTGAAAATTATATTTCCGAAAATTATATTATAAAATTAAATTTTTAAAAGTTGTTCCAAAATGTTCTAATCTTGTTCCACATTGTTCTAAAGCGATATTATTTTATTTCAAACAGTTTCCCAGCAAAACGAAAAAACCATATTTTTAGTACTTCTTTTTTAAAAAAATCGAACATTTTACTATCGCTATAAATTGTTCTGGTTATTATAAACATCGTTCCAAAACGATAATTTCGTAAATCGAACCAGGAAACAAGAAAATAAAAAAACATTGTTGTGTAAAGTTAACCCCCAAGTCCAAAGCAAAAATACTCTATCTTTCTCGTTCTAACTGACAATTTTTTGTTCTGAGTTGTTCTAGGTCCAAGTAACATCCAAGTCTAGGTTCAAGTAACATAGTATTACAATATGAATCTTCCATCACCATCGATTTTCACAAAACTCGAAAAAGCTCGATTTTTCAACAGTATCCTTAAGAGTAAACATACTTTTCCTTTTTTGTTCTAAACGAAAATTTTTTGTTTTAAGTTATCCTAAACCTACGCAATATAATTTTGTAGTATGAATTTCACATCGCTGTCGATTATCACAAAAAAAGCATTTGTGTAATATATGATATAATGATAATATCATATGATGTATTAAAATTAAAAAGACACACACACATACACACGCTCACGCACACACACGCGCACACGCACACACATATATGCACATGTAAAGGATGTCCGTGATGTTTTAGAAACGAAAAATTGTGAAGATTAATCAAATCAAACTGAGAAGAAAAGTCATGTACCATTTTGCAAAAATGGCAATAATTATTAAATTTTTAATAAAACGTTTGACCTAATGAGCACACGGGGAACGGTAGGCAGGATTAGACAAAAATCTAATGACAATAGACAAGACAAATAAACTTATTTCTGAATACATGCGGATATACAGTGTGTCCCGATCTAGCGACTACCGCGCTCTCGATATTTTTCTCTTCGGAACGAAAATAAGATGCAGGTCCCGAACACACGGCGTCCTGTCGCTACCTAGTACGCCCTCCTTCTTTCATGGTCCCGGGAGGAAAGGTCAATACTTCGTGGAGGTATAGAATGAGGTAATATAAGGCAAAAATGTTATATAAACATGGTGTCGTTTATTACTGGTTTCCGAGATACAGATATGTTAAATTACACGTTGGAATTTAACGTTGTCGCGTCATTGGGATTTCATTCTTCGCCGTAATGGAGCCCTGCAGGCTGTGTATCAGTTATAAAGATTAGCGAAACACACCTGGTGATCTGTCCTGCTGTTTATGACACACTGCAAACATGCCACACGTGTTTTCTAATGTAGAGTACGTAGATATGGTTTATGTTTATGGGTATTGTGATGGCAGTGCTCCTGCAGCCGTTGAAGAATATCATCGCCGTTTTCCGATACGCCGCATTCCAGGCCGAAGAGTATTCTCAAACGTGTTTAACAGCTTACGTGAAAATGGTACACTTCCCAGTGCTCACATCACATCTAAACGCAGAGTTGAGAGAAATGTTGAGGAAGAAGAAAATGTACTTCAAATGGTACAAAGGAGTCCTACGACTAGTACAAGAAAGGCCTTTGCACGTACTGGTGTTCCTCGGACACATGTCTGGCGGATACTGCATGACCAACATCTGTACCCATTTCATCCGCAACGAGTACAAAATCTCCATGAAGGAGATGGAGCCACACGTCTACAGTTTTGCCAATGACTACAGAATTATCGTGAATTGATTCCCGTCATACTTTTTACTGACGAGGCAACATTTATGCGTAATGGCATAAATAATACGCGTAACACCCATCGTTGGTCGCAAGATAACCCTAACGCCATTGTTGTACAGAATTTCCAAGTTCGTTTCTCCG